TATATATATATATATATATATATATATATATATATATATATATATAGTTTGAGGGGCTCATTCAAGGAAGAACTGACTAGTTTGTAGTAACCGTGAGATCCAATATCAACCACAAATCAATAGATAAATTAGGAAATTTATAATTTTGGTAATTTTGAATTAAAATTTTAATGTAAAAATATTTTAGGTATTTTCTCTCCTCTCTTCTCTCTCCGTCCTCCGTCCTACAGCCACCGTCTTCCGGTGATACCACTGTGATACCAAAAAATATTGACCGTGTTAAACAAAAAACACAATGTGATACCCAAACATATATATGATGCATTGCGATACCACTGTGTTACATCTCCGATCGACCACACAAACAACCTTAGTGTGATACCCAAGCACATATATGATGCATTGTGATACTATTGTGGTATCACCAGAAGACGGTGATCGAAGATGGTGGTCGGAGGAGGGAGAGATGAGAGTTTTAAAATATCTAAAATGTCCTTGCATTAAAACTTTAATTCAAAATTACCAAAATTATAAATTTTTTAATTTATCTATTAATTTGTGATTGAAATTGAATCTCACGGTTACCACAAACTAATTAATTCTAATTGGATTAGGTCCCTATGATTTGATATAAATAGTTTATATGATATTTTACTATTTCAACCCCACATTTGCTTTTAGATTATTCAACTTCCACAAACACACGTCAATATTTTCTTTTGTAACTTTCAACAAAAATCACTTATATTGTTGTCAAATCGAATTAAAACACACCATCGATAGCCCTCCCTCATCCTCATTCACCATTCCTCCCCCCCATCTACTTTCAGAATTCAGACAAACACACATCCCCATCAGATCTCTTTTAAAGATTATGAAATGGCTCAAAAAACCCACATCCATAAACCCCCTTTTCTTCACCTTTTTCTTATTTTTCAATCAATCTCTATGTTCGGATCCACGTTATGAAGCTTGTGTCCCCCATAGCTGCAGTGAAAATGGGCCGACCATTACTTATCCATTTTTCATCAACGGTTTACAAAACTCCAGTTGTGCCTACCCTGGATTAGGACTCCATTGCAAGAATGGTTTCCCAATGCTTAAGATCTCAGAAAACGAATTCAGGGTGGAAGAAATTGATTATGAAAGAAGTCATCTCCGACTTCAGACCACCGCAATTTCGTGGAATCAGACTGTATCTTGCCCTTCGGATATCAGGAACTTAACGCTTGACCCTAACCGGTTTTTAATTGACAACGATACGACTACGAAACTCGTATTCATTTCGAATTGCATGAATAACGCGAGTGCGAGTCTAGAGAGGTATAGGATCCAGTCATGTCAGACAAGTGTGGAGCTGGTCATGCTAGCGAACGATACGAATTTGAGAACCGCAACGGAGACTTGCGGCAACGGYAGTGGGATTGTGATGACGCCGGTGGAATTGACTGGCAAAGAAGGGAGGATTGACGCTACGAATTATGCAGAGGTGCTGGAAAGGGGGTTCGTGATGAGGTGGCGTGCGCCGGACTGTGGTATCTGTCGGGATAGTGGTGGGAGGTGTGGGTTCGATACGCCGACGTTCCAATTTCGTTGTTTTTGCCCCGATAGACCCCATAGGACGCGTTGCACACCTGGTAAGAACTTTCCTCTTTGGTCTATTCGCATATGATTAATATCATTAACAGGTCCGGTCCCAAAATTTTTGATGTCCTGTGTGAAAATAATAAAAAATGCTCCGAAGTCTGTTTTTTTTAAGCCAATGAAACATGCGATCTTTTAAAGAGTTTAAAACCTATTCAAGCTAAATATCTCATCTCGATGTTGAATTTTATTAATTATAATTCAAAAAATTACGATGGAGGGGACATAAAAACCAAAACCCCGTATACAAAATATAAAATTATAAATCCAAGATTAAGATCGTGCTTCCTTCTTTTTCAGTTTTCTCTTTTCCAGAATTGAAATTAGCAAACTAGAAACATTATTTCAATACATGGAACTTAAAAGACATGGAAAACTAAAATTAGTTTTTAACTAAAATAGTAAATTACATCCAAACTGTTGTCATAGTAAGCAAATTGTAAAACTAAAAAATTACAGGTCTAACGACTAAAGATTAAACGTTTATCTATTAGCAGCTTAATAAGTTTAATGGAACTAATAACTTATTCACTCAACTATGCACAACTGTTTCATAGTGGCTTAATGATATAGAAAGGAACTTATCCGGAAAGCTTCTAGGGGGGAGCTTTATATAGAAAGCCATTTTTTTCCAAGCATGTCCATTCCAACTAAAAAAACGCTCCTTACATCTGCGAAAAAACTTTCCGAAACAAAAAATCTTCCAACTTATATAAACAATTTAATTCATATGGACAACTTTATACAAACAAATTTTTTTCCAACTTTCCAACTTAATGCATCAACTACTTGCACTTTATGTCTTGCTACTGGTATATTTCTTATTACTTTCCACTTTTAGAATATCTATCTCTGTAGAGAGGAGGAAGTTATTTTAGGAAACTGAACTTGATTAGAAACTCGCCACTCACGTCATGTCACGTGTTCCTTTTTGGAGATATACATGGAAGGAGGTATTGTTTATCAGGAATCACAAATTCATAATAATGAATAATTCATCCATATTATTGATGGATATACCATATGTCTAGCTTTTGTCTACGGGTGTAAATGAGTCGAGTCGATCAGCAGGTTATTCGAGCTCGGTTCGAAAAAATAATATCAGACTCGAGCTCGATTAACTATTTCAAAGAAGTCGGGCTTGCGCTCGAGCTTGAATATTTTTTTTAATGTTTGAGCTTGAGCTTAGCTCGATGCTTGTTTATCACCTCAAATTTGAGATTGATTCACTCGCCTGTTTACTCAAGCTGGTCCATTTTGGAGCAATATACTTGTTGATTTACTAAAAGTTACTGCTGATACTAAGAATGTTCTTTTGCAGGAAAACGAAGAAACACTGTGATGAAATATGCACTAGGTAATATGATTCAATAACATCAGAATTTTACGTACTTGTACCGTGATTATAACGGTCTGAAATCTTTTTCGACTGCAAAACTTGAATCCTATCTTGTTCATTGTTTGCAGCAGCTCTTGGCATTGGGACCGTAATTATCTTGATCTTCCTGATCTTTTGCTTCAGATTCAAGATCTTCTCTAGATATCACACAAAAGTTCATACCAATCTGGAAATCTTCATAGAGAATCATGAAGCTCTTGCTCCAAAAAGGTACTCTTATTCAGATTTGAAAAGAATGACTGAATCCTTCAAAGTCAAAATAGGCCAAGGAGGTTATGGTTCTGTGTACCAAGGAGCGTTACACAACGGTAACTTAGTTGCGGTCAAAATTCTRAACGAATTAAAAGGAAATGGAGAAGATTTAGTTAATGAACTCGCGAGCATTAGCAAGACTTCTCATGTTAACATAGTAAGTCTTTTGGGATTCTGTTTTGAGGGCCGTCACCGAGCTTTGATCTATGAGTACATGCCTAACGGATCCCTAGAGAAATTTGTTTATAATCGAGGTTCAGCAATAGGTAGCCAACTAGAATGGGAGAAACTATACGAAATTGTAGTTGGCATTGGTCGAGGCTTAGAGTACTTGCATCGCGGTTGTAACACACAAATTCTACATTTTGACATAAAACCCCATAATATTCTCTTAGATAAAGATTTATGTCCTAAGATATCTGATTTTGGGCTCGCTAAGCTATGTCCTGAAAAAAGAAGTGTCATTTCTATGTCGGGTATGAGAGGGACTCCGGGGTATATTGCACCGGAAGTATTTTCTAGAAACTTTGGAGGGGTTTCTCACAAGTCGGATGTGTACAGTTACGGGATGATGGTATTAGAAATGGTGGGAGGGCGAAGGGATGTTGTGGTTGAAGTTAATGACACTAGCAACATGTTCTTCTCCCATTGGGTATATAAACAACTTGTGTCGAACAAAAATCTTGGATTGAGCGGGATTTTGAATGAGGAGGATAAAGAACGAGTGACGAAGATGGTTTTTGTAGGCTTATGGTGCATACAAGTTGATCCTTCAAGTAGACCATCAATGAGTAAGGTGTTGGATATGTTAGAAGGAGATTTAGAGTCCATACAGATTCCTCCTAAACCTTTCTTGTTTTCCCCTCCAAAATCACCAGATCCCACCATTGAATCGCTATGATTCATGGTTAAACTTGAAATTGAAAAATGTAATCGGTTGTTCAGTAAACATGTAACACATTCATATCCAAATTTGGTAATTATATGGGAGTTTGAGGGGTTCCGTTGCAAATTGGTTTTGGAATTGGTATGTAATAAAAAATAAATGAACAAAACATCCTTTTATGTCATTTGCATACTTTCTTGATTAAATTGAAGATAATGTATATGATTGGGTTTCAATGAAAATGAAAGTTATGGTGAAAAGTATAAGAAGAGATCTTCATTCATGAATCAATACCTAGATGAATGTCAACACCAAAGAGGTACATACAGATGTACCAAATCAATTCTCTTCTAATGTGCAATTCATGAGTGAGCATGGGATTAAAAGTGATCAGGGATTCACATCTCTTCTTATGTTTCTTACTGTAACTTCCATTTTCATATGTTCTTTCGCCTCGTATATACTATGATAAAATTAATGATAACATTAATTGGCGGCCAAGGGAGGGGGGATGGTGGTG